GGGTTGTATTTGTACCCATCTTTCCTTAGTCATTTTCATCCCTGTTCGTTTATTCTCACAGCCCCGACATTTCCGCCGTTAGCCCTGGTACTCCGAGGTTCACCCATCTTCGTACCTGTCGAAAATACTTAGCAAATCCCAGGCATCCTTGGCAATACACCCCTCGCTGCGCCTCCATGTAACGATATCAAACCCTTTCAGGGTCTACTGAATAGACTCCGAAATTCGCGGTGGAGTGGTACACGGGCTCCGCCTATCACTCAAGTAGCTTGAAACGACACCCACAACTTTCCCTCTTTTTTTGTTTTGCTTTCGCCCCCCGACAATTTCGCATGACGCCGTTCACCCAGCGTCCCGCTTTTGTCGGATGAGACATTCTTCGTGTTGACCCGCGATTTTTCTGGCGTTCGATGAAGGCGCGAACACAATCGTAGCCGGGGTGAGTTTATCGTATCAAACGCCCGCCCGGCCGCTTCGCTGCCCACCGTACCTATCGCACTGAAAAGACTCCACAGCTTCGGGAACTCCATTCGCTGCTACACCGGCGTTGGGTAGACCATTGAATCAGGAGAAACACCGACAGCTGCCACAATTTCCTCAGTCCCGACTTTTTCGGCAGGGTAACTGTCGCCGATGGTCCGTTTTTGTCGGGGCCGAACAGTGTCGCTGTCAGATTATCATAGCTGATGCATGTTTGTAGGCTATAGTGGGGTAGCACATATGGGGTACAGCTTTCTAGGGTTGTATTTGTACCCAACTCTGACTTAGTCATTTTCATTCCTGTTCATTGATTCTCACATGGTATAGAGCGGGTCCTTCCTAAGGACCGTTTTTTTTAAGGGCCCACACACGATTTTTTTTCCTGCCCGGAGCGCGCCCTATTCTCGCCGAGGCGCGCTCCCCCCTAATGCTTGTCGCGCTGCCCTTGTGGCGCCCCGCGAGTCGCGCGCGCGACTCCTTTTTTTTCGCGCGCGCGGCCCGGGCCCCACGTCGCGCTGGCCTTACGGCCGCGCCGCGCCGCCCTCTCGGCTCTGCTGCGCCCCGCCGCCCTCACGCCGGCCGCGCGGCCTCTTCGTCGCTGCAGCGGGCCCCGTCACCTGACGGCCCCGCCGTCCTCTTTTGACGGCCCCGCCGTCCCCTACTCTCGGCCCCGCCGTTGCAACCTGACGGCCCCGCCACTGCACCTGTCGGCCCCGCCGCTGCACCCTGACGGCCCCGCCGTCCCCTGTCCCGGCCCCGCCGCTGCACCCTGCCGGCCCCGCCGCTGCACCTCTGTCGGCCCCGCCGCTGCACCCTGACGGCCCCGCCGTCCCCTGTCACGGCCCCGCCGTCCCCTGTCACGGCCCCGCCGCTGCACCCTGACGGCCCCGCCACTGCACCAGTCGGCCCCGCCGCTGCACCCTGACGGCCCCGCCGTCCCCTGTCCCGGCCCCGCCGCTGCACCCTGCCGACCCCGCCGCTGCACCCTGACGGCCCCGCCGTCCCCTGTCACGGCCCCGCCGCTGCACCCTCACGGCCCCGCCACTGCACCAGACGGCCCCGCCGCTGCACCCTGACGGCCCCGCCGTCCCCTGTCCCGGCCCCGTCCTGCACCCAAGCCGCCCTGCCGCCGAGCCGCCCGGGAGCCGAGCCGCCCTGCACCCGAGCCGCCGTGCCGCCGAGCCGCCCGGGAGCCGAGCCGCCCTGCACCCGAGCCGCCCTGCCGCCGAGCCGCCCGGGCGCCGAGCCGCCCTGCACCCGAGCCGCCCTGCCGCCGAGCCGCCCGGGAGCCGAGCCGCCCAGCAGCCGAGTCGCTGAGTCGCCGAGCCGCCCTTCTGCAGAGTTGCCCGGCCTGCCCTGCCTGGTGAGCACAGTCGCACTGTCACTGCGTGCTCTTCCCCTACTGCTTGCACTGCTTCGCTGTCGTCGTCATGGCTACCCCTAGTGTCCTAGCTTTCGACGCTGAGGGTCGAGCCATTGACTTTGAGGTCTCGGTAGACGACCTGCAGTTGTTTTTACAGTGCGATAGGGCAGACGACCTCTCTCTCTTTGACCTTACCTCTGGCGCCTCTCCTGCTCCTGCTGCTGATGCTGATCCCACTGTGCGCTCTCAGTGGGCCACCCGCGATGCTGCTGCACGTCTTGCTGTGCGTCGCCACCTCCCTACCTCTGAGCGCGCGCACTTTAGTCAGTACAAGAGTGCTCAGACCTTGTACGACGCTGTAGTTGCGCGCTACTCCTCCCCTGCCACTGCTGCACTGAGCCGTCTCATGCTTCCCTACCTCTTTCCTGACCTCTCTGCCTTTCCCACAGTCGCTGACCTCATTACACACCTCCGCACTAGTGACACTCGCTACCGCGCCGCCCTTCCTGCTGAGTTCTGCGCTAAGAACCCCCCCCCCCCATGTACATCGCTCTCTACTACGTAGTCGCGCGCCTCCCTGACTCCCTTCGCATCGTCAGGGACCACTTTCTCGCAGTCTGTCCCACCACCCTCACCGTCGACCTCCTCGAGAAGGCCCTCCTCGCAGCGGAGAAGAGCATAGTCGTTGTAGGTGCTTCTCGTGGTGACCCTCGCACCCCCATCTTTGAGGGGTGCTCTCCTTCCCCCTTGCTGCCCTCTGTTGCCTCTGCTGCTGCTGCCGACCTGCTTGGTCTTGAGTCGGTCGGCGCGGCGTCTGCCCCTAGTGGGAGACGTCGCTCCAGCAAGGGCAAGGGGGGCAAGGGCGCGGGTGGAGCTGGAGGGGGCGGTGGCGGTGGCGGCGGTGGCGGCGGAGGGAGTGGGGGTGGCGGCGGGACTAGTGGCGGGGGTGGTGGTGGTGGTGGCAGCAGCGGCGGAGACGGTGGTGGTGGTGCCAGCGGTGGTGGTGGAGGCAGCGGCGGAGGTGGAGGCGGCGGAGGTGGAGGCGGTGGAGGCGGCAGCGGAGGTGGCGGTGGTGGTGGAGGAGGTGGAGCTGGTCGGGGTGGTACCCAGCAGCGTAGCGGCGGTGGTGGTGGCCAGCGCTCGCAGCGGCAGCAGCAGCAGCGCTCGCGGGACATCCCTCCGCCTCAGCAGCTTCGTGAGTGGTACGCTGGGCGTCAGAGGGGTGGGGGTACTGGTCCCTGCACCTACGTTCTTCGTTCCGGCGACCGCGCGGGTGAGCAGTGTGGGGGTGCCCACGCCGCCCAGCGCTGCTTTGGCCGCCTGACGGACGCTTGGCGTCAGCAGTTCCCTGGGGCTAGTGAGATCCCTCGCTGGGATGAGCTTCTTAGGGCTGGTGTAGCGATCTTTGATCTTGATTTTGATGCTATCCTTGCTGCTATGTATGCTGTGACTTATAGTGAGGAGAATGAGGGTTACCGGTGTTTCCAGCCCGACCCGGGCATTGGTACTGCTGCACTAGGTGCTTGTGAGGCTGCTGCTCTAGGTGCCAGTGCGTCTGCGCTCTCAGGTACTGGTGAGACTGCGCTCTCAGGTACTGCGTCGTCCTCGTCCTCCCTCACTTTCACACTTGACTCCGGGGCTTCTCGCTCCTTCTTTCGAGACCGCACTACCCTTACGCCGCTCGGCCGGCCGGTTGCAGTCTCCCTTGCTGACCCCTCTGGGGGTCCTGTCCTGTCTCACTTCTCCACTGTCCTCCCGTGTCCGGCTGCCCCTTCGGGCACCCTGTCTGGTCTGTACCTACCCTCGTTCTCTACGAACTTGGTGAGTGGCGCGGACCTGCAGGATGTGGGGGTTCACCAGTTCACTCCTGCGAGTCAGCAGGTGACCCACTGCACGGAGGCACGCACAGGCCGACACCTGGCCACATTCTCGCGTCGGCCGGGGTCGAGTCTCTACACCCTGACCGTTGAGTCTCCTCCTGTCCCTGCGTCTGGTCAGGTGGCTGCGTCAGGTCAGGTGCTTGCTGCTGCGTCCCGGTCAGGTCCTGAGTCTGCCCCCTGTTCTTGTCGCCTCCTGTCTCACGAGACTCTCCTGTGGCACCACCGTCTTGGCCACCCCTCCTTGCCCCGTCTTCGGAGCATGGCTTCCCGTGTCCTTGTCTCTGGTCTTCCCCAGTCTCTCCCTCCTCTCCCCTCCGGGCCAGGACCTTCCTGTGTCCCCTGTGTCGAGGGTCGCCTCCGGGCTACTCCTCACTCCTCCCACTTCCCCCCGACAGAGGCTCCCCTGCAGACGCTTCACATGGATGTGTGGGGCCCAGCCCCCGTCCGTGGGCAGGGTCACGAGCGCTACTTCCTGTTGGTGGTTGACGACTACTCGCGTTACACCACAATCCTCCCCTTGCGCAGCAAGGGTGCGGTCACTGAGGTGCTGATCGACTGGATCCGCGAGGCTCGTCTCCAGCTCAGGAAGAGCTTCGGCTCGGACTTTCCTGTTCTGCGTCTGCACTCGGACAGAGGCGGAGAGTTCTCTTCTCGCCTTCTGCGAGACTACTATCGTGCACGGGGGATCCGCCAGACCTTCACGCTTCCGGACTCACCACAGCAAAATGGGATTGCTGAGCGCCGCATTGGCATGGTCATGGATGTCGCTCGTACGTCCATGATGCATGCGGCTGCCCCCCATTTTCTGTGGCCGTTTGCGGTGAGGTACGCGGCGCATCAGCTCAACCTTCACCCCCGGGTCTCTCGGCCTGCGATGTCCCCAGCCTTGCTGTGGACGGGGAAGGTTGGCGATGCGTCTGTGTTCCGTGTCTGGGGATCTCGGGCGTTTGTCCGCGACTTGTCTGCGGACAAGCTGTCCCCTCGTGCTGCTCCCTGTGTCTTCCTTGGCTTCCCCACTGACGCCCCAGGGTGGCAGTTTTACCACCCCTCCTCTCGTCGTGTTCTGTCCTCCCAGGACGTCACGTTCGACGAGTCAGTCCCCTTCTACCGTCTCTTCCCCTACCGCACTCCTTCCCTCCCCCCTCCCCCGGACTTCCTTGTGCCGGTTCCCCCCCCGGTAGACCCCCTCCCCCCTCAGGTTCCTGCCCCCTCAGGTGTGTCCCAGGTAGACGCCGTTGACCCGGTCGAGGTTACTGGTGACTCTGGTGCTGCTGCGGATGCTGAGCCTGGGGGTGCTGACTCTGGGGGTGCTGTGCGCGGAGGTGCTGAGCCTGGGGGTGCTACTGCTGGGGGTGCTGGGCCTGCGGGTGCTACTGCGGAGGGTGCGGAGCCTGGGGGTGCTGAGCCGGGGGGTGTTGTGCCTGGAGGTGCTGGGTCTGGGGGTGCTGGGTCGGGAGCTGCTGAGCCTGGGGGTGCTGAGCTGGGAGCTGCTGAGCCTGGGGGTGTTGCGTCTGGAGCTGCTGAGCCTGGGGTTTCTCCTGCTGCTGCGTCTCTCCGGGAGCCCCTCTCTCCACAGGAGCTGCGCGAGTGGTTCGCTCGCCGCTGGAGGCGTGCTGCTGGAGCTGGAGCTGGAGCTTCTTCGACCGTCGAGGGTGCGGGTGCTGCCGGTCCCGGAGCTGCTGGACCTGCGGGTCCTCCTGGAGCTGGAACTGCTGAGGGCGTTGGTGCTGAGCCTACTGCTGTTGGTCCTGCCGCTGGAGGTGTGGGTGGCGCTGGTGCTGTCGCTGAGGGTGCTGGTGCTGTCCCTGCTGAGTCTGGAGCTGCCGTGCGGCCTCGGCCGTACTTCGTTCCGCTCCTGCAGCAGGTTCTTGGTCTTTCTCCTCCAGTAGAGGGTCCACCGCCTGTCCAGTCGCAGTCCCTGCTGGAGCCTTCCTCTCCACTGCCTGCTCCCTCTCCTTACACTGGTCCTACTGGAGGTCTTGCTGAGCGTCGTGAGCCTGCGTCTCATCCCGCGTTGCCTGTTCGTGCTGCTCGCGCTAGTGGTCGCAGTTCGCGTCAGCGTCCTCCTCCTGTCCCTGGCACGCACCGGATGTCTTTGCGTCCGTCCACTGCTCCTCTGCGTGCCCCTTTGCCTTCTCCTCCTGAGTCCTCTCTTCCTGCACTTGCCGACCCTGAGTCGGACTCTCTTCGTGCTGCCAATCCTACTGTCACGCGTCTGCTTGCTACTGTCGTCACTGACCCCTCTTTTGAGTCCACTGCTGCGTCTGCTCTAGTCGCTGAGCTCGTCGACTTTGCTGCTCGCTGTCGTCTCGACTACGCTGCTAGTCTTGTTGCTGAGTCTGCGTCTGTCTGTCCTCCGTCCGTCGGGGGTGAGTGTGCTCTTGGCACGGACGTCCTAGAGGACAGGCAGGAGGAGTTACAGTGTCTAGCGGCTGCTTCACCTCATCTCGCGTCTGTACTGCTTGCCCCTGAGGGAGACCCGGATGCACTAGACATCCCGACTCCGCGTTCTTACGCGGAGGCCGTAGAGGGTCCCTACTCCTCTCAGTGGCAGGCAGCTATGGATGCAGAGATGGCTTCCTGGAAGTCCACAGGCACCTACGTTGACGCGGTTCCCCCACCTGGGGCGAACATCGTCAGTGGCATGTGGATCTTCAGGGTGAAGCGGCCGCCGGGCTCTCCACCTGTCTTCAAGGCACGGTACGTTGCTCGAGGATTCAGTCAGCGGCAGGGAGTTGACTACTTTCAGACCTTCTCTCCCACCCCAAAGATGACTACTCTTCGGGTGCTGCTGCACATAGCCGCTCAGCGCGACTACGAGCTTCACTCTCTCGACTTCAGCACTGCGTTCTTGCAGGGTAGCCTGCACGAGGAGATCTGGCTTCGCCGTCCACCTGGCTTCACTGGGACTTTCCCTCCTGGCACCCAGTGGAGCCTCCGACGGCCAGTCTACGGTCTTTGCCAGGCACCGCGTGAGTGGCACGACACACTGAGGACTACGCTTGCGGCCCTTGGGTTTGCTCCTTCTACTGCTGACCCGTCGCTGTTTCTTCGCACCGACACTTCCCTGCCGCCGTTCTACATCCTCGTGTACGTCGACGACTTGGTCTTTGCCACAGCGGACACTGCTGGACTCGCCTACGTGAAGTCCGAGCTGCTGAAGAGACACACGTGCACAGACCTGGGTGAACTGCGCAGCTACCTTGGCTTGCAGATCACTCGGGACAGAGCCCGCCGCACCATTACCTTGACTCAGTCACACATGGTGCAGCAGGTCCTTCAGCGCTTCGGCTTCACGTACTCCTCGCCTCAGGCCACTCCTCTGCCTACTCGCCACTCACTCTCAGCTCTGCCTTCGGATGAGTCCGTGGAGTCGAGTGGTCCGTATGCAGAGCTTGTTGGCTGCCTCATGTACCTGATGACCTGCACACGACCTGACCTTGCATACCCTCTGAGCATTCTTGCACGCTATGTTGCTCCTGGGAGACACAGACCAGAGCACATGGCTGCAGCGAAGAGGGTATTGCGCTACCTGTGCAGTACGTCGGGCATGGGGCTAGTGCTTGGAGGGCGGAGTCCAGTGGTCCTTACCGGCCACGCAGACGCTTCTTGGGCTGACGACCAGGCTACGCAGTGGTCGTCACAGGGTTACACCTTCAGCCTTGGTTCCGGCTCTGTCTCGTGGCGGTCTACTCGCTCGTCTTCGGTTCTCGGCTCCAGTTGTGAGGCTGAGATCTACGCCGGGGCCATGGCTGCACAGGAGCTTCGCTGGCTCACCTACCTGCTGACTGACCTTGGAGAGCCGCCTCGTTCTCCTCCAGTGCTGTACGTAGACAACAAGGCCATGCTGGCCTTGTGTCGAGAGCAGCGCTTGGAGCACAGAACGAAGCACATTGCTCTCCGCTAATTCCTTGCTCGTGAGCTGCAGCAGCGTGGTCAGTTGCGACTTGCGTACGTGGCCTCTGAGGCCAACACTGCTGATGTGTTCACCAAGGCACTCGCGCCTTGTGACCATCAGCGCTTTTGCACCCAGCTGGGCTTGTGCCTGTCTTGCCTCACTTGCTCTCCTCTTGACTTCACTTGTACTGTGACATATATATATACCTGCTCTTGCTTGTCTAGTTTTATATATATGTCTGTACTCCTGCATGTGAACTGGCCTCTGGCCCTGCTCTTGTGCTCGGACTGTGTGGTGACTTTGTGATCCACCCTGAGCTTGCTTTGCTTTGCTTTGCTTGACTGGTCTTGTGACCCCTTGTTCTCCCCCACTTTGCCTATGGGGGTGTGTCAGATTATCATAGCTGATGCATGTTTGTAGGCTATAGTGGGGTAGCACATATGGGGTACAGCTTTCTAGGGTTGTATTTGTACCCAACTCTGACTTAGTCATTTTCATTCCTGTTCATTGATTCTCACAGTCGCACCACAAACTGTTTTCTTGTACGCCCTGCTGTCGACCCAGCGCCACCCACGCCTTTCTAACCAGCACAGGGCTAAAAACACAGGGCCCCACCTTTTTATCCAGTAGCCAACAGGACTTACGAATTGCCTTCGAGACTTTTCTGGTGTGAGGTATGTGAAACGTCGGTAGACTTGGCCGGTAGGGAGCTCCTTCTACTACCGCCGCTTAGCCGTGAGACTCGGCCTCAGCAAAAGTCGTCGCTGTAGGTCGTTTTTCTCGCCTCCTGAAGTCGGAACCCGTTTCTCTCGACGGACCCGTATTAGTCGCAACTCCGTTTATTGTAGCCGGTAGAACCCCCAAAAATTCGCGGGTCTAAACGCTGCGCCGAATCGTTGTTCCGTGGTGTACTGGGCTGTCTGCAAACACAGGTACCTCTGGCCGGAGGGAACCGTGCCGCGTGAAGTGCATAATCGGCTGCCACTGTTGCTCCGAAATTTTCGCCGATGAACATTGTGCCAGAAACAGTAGTCACCCAAGCCGGAACGGTCTGGTCGTAGGCGGCCTTTTCTGAACTTTTCGGTGGTTTGAAGAACAACTTCCGTCCCACACTGTGCCGCTCTGCCGAAAAACGCCCACGACGCACCCTCCTGCAGCAACACCGGCCGCACCCGGGCGGGACGACGGTAGACCCCCGCTTTCTTCGGGCAGTCGCCACGCCGCCTCTCCTCGCCGTCGGTTTTTCCGACGCAAATCACACATTGCGCCTGGCTGCTCGACCAGCAGTCGTTTTCCACGTGCTGCTTGTGAAGAAGTGAACGCGAGAATGTGTGAACTATGAACGAAGTGAGTACAAATAGGAAACCCTAGCTGGGTTGTACCCCCTATGGGATACCCCACTATAGCCTACACAAATAAGTAAGCTATAATGTTCTGACACACCCCCATAGGCAAAGTGGGGGAGAACAAGGGGTCACAAGACCAGTCAAGCAAAGCAAAGCAAAGCTCAGGGTGGATCACAAAGTCACCACACATTCCGAGCACAAGTTCAAGGGCCACAAGGCCAGTTCACATGCAAGATCATATATATAGAGATATACAAGAGTCAAGCAAGCAAGAGCAAGACTATATATATGTGACGGTACAAGGAAGGTCAAGAAGTGAGCAAGTGAGGCAAGACAGACACAAGACCCAGCTGCATGCAGCAACGCTGATGATCACAAGGCGCAAGTGCCTTCGTGAACACATCAGCAGTGTTGGCCTCAGAGGCCACGTACGCAAGTCGCAACTGTCCACGCTGCTGTAGCTCACGAGCAAGAAAGTAGCGGAGAGCAATGTGCTTTCTCCTGTGCTCCAGTCTCTGCTCTCGACACAAGGCCAGCATGGCCTTGTTGTCTACGTACAGGACTGGAGGAGAACGAGGCTGCTCTCCAAGGTCGGTCAGCAGGTAGGTGAGCCAGCGTAACTCCTGTGCAGCCATAGCCCCAGCGTAGATCTCAGCCTCACAACTGGAGCCGAGAACAGAAGACGAGCGGGTAGCCCGCCACGAAACAGAGCCGGAACCAAGGCTGAAGGTGTAACCCTGTGACGACCGCTGCGTAGCCTAGTCGTCAGCCCAAGAAGCGTCTGCGTGCCCAATAAGGACCACTGGACTGCGCCCTCCAAGCACTAGCCCCATGCCTGACGTACTGCACAAGTAGCGCAACACCCTCTTCGCTGCAGCCATGTGCTCTGGTCGGTGTCTCCCAGGAGCAACATAGCGTGCGAGAATGCTCAGAGGGTATGCAAGGTCAGGTCGAGTGCAGGTCATCAGGTACATGAGGCAGCCAACAAGCTCTGCATACGGGCCACTCGACTCTACGGACTCATCCGAAGGCAGAGCTGAGAGCGAGTGGCGAGTAGGCAGAGGAGTGGCCTGAGGCGAGGAGTACGTGAAGCCGAAGCGCTGAAGGACCTGCTGCACCATGTGTGACTGAGTCAGGGTAATGGTGCGGCGTGCTCTGTCCCGGGTGATCTGCAAGCCAAGGTAGCTGCGCAGTTCACCCAGGTCAGTGCACGTGTGTCTCTTCTGCAGCTCGGACTTCACGTAGGCGAGTCCAGCAGTGTCAGCTGTGGCAAAGACCAAGTCGTCGACGTACACGAGGATGTAGAACGGCGGCAGAGAGGTGTCGGTGCGCAGAAACAGCGACGGGTCGGCAGTAGACGGAGCAAACCCAAGTGCCGCGAGCGTAGTCCTCAGTGTGTCGTGCCACTCACGTGGCGCCTGGCGGAGACCGTAGACTGGACGCCGGAGACTCCACTGGGTACCAGGAGGGAAAGACCCAGTGAAGCCAGGTGGGCGGCGCAGCCAGATCTCCTCGTGCAGACTGCCCTGCAAGAAAGCTGTGCTGAAGTCGAGAGAGTGCAGCTCGTAGTCACGGTGAGCAGCAACGTGCAGCAGAACCCGAAGAGTGGTCATCTTCGGGGTGGGGGAGAAGGTCTGAAAGTAGTCAACCCCCTGCCGCTGACTGAAGCCACGAGCCACGTAACGCGCCTTGAAGACAGGCGGAGAACCCGGCGGCCGCTTCACCCTGAAAATCCACATGCCACTGACGATGTTCGCCCCAGGAGGGGGGACAGCGTCGACGTAGGTGCCTGTGGACTTCCAGGAAGCCATCTCTGCGTCCATAGCTGCCTGCCACTGAGAGGAGTAGGGACCCTCTATCGCCTCCGCGTAAGAGCGCGGAGTCGGGATGTCTGGTGCATCCGGGTCTCCCTCAGGGGCTAGCAGTACAGACGCGAGATGGGGTGAAGCGGCGGCCAGACACTGGAACTCCTCCTGCCTGTCCTCAAGGACGTCCGTGCCGAGGGCACACTCACCCCCGACGGACGGAGGACAGGCAGACTCAGACTCAGCGACAAGACTGGCAGCGTAGTCTAGACGACAGCGCGCAGCAAAGTCGACAAGCTCAATGACAAGGGCAGACGCAGCAGACGACTCGAAGGAAGGGTCAGTGACAGCAGTAGCAAGGAGACGCGTGACAGTAGGACTGGCAGCACGAAGAGAGTCCGACTCCGGGTCGGCAAGAGCAGGAAGAGAGGAAGCAGGAGGAGAAGGCAAAGGGGCACGCAGAGGAGCAGTGGACGGACGCAGTGCCATGCGGTGCGTGCCAGGGACAGGAGGAGGACGCTGACGCGACCCGCGACCACTAGCGCGCTCAGTACGAACAGGCGACGCAGGACGAGACGCAGGCTCACGACGCTCAGTAAGACCTCCAGTCGGACCAGCGTAGGGAGAAGGAGCAGGCAAAGGGGAGGAAGGCTGTAGCTTTGGCTGTGACTGGACAGGCTGTGGACCCTCTAAGGGAGAAGGAGGAGTAAGACCAAGAACCTGCTGGAGAAGCGGAACGAAGTACGGTCGGGGCCGCGCGACGACGCCAGAAACAGCAGGAACAGCACCAGTACCCCCAGCAGGAGCACCCACTCCAGCAGCACCTCCAGCAGCACCACCAGAAGCTCCAGAACCTCTAGCAGCAGCACCAGGAGCACTGTCAGTCGGACCGCCAGCAGCAGGCTCAGCGCCAACACCCTCAGCAGCACCAGCTCCAGGAGAACTCGCAGACCCAACAGCTCCAGCACCCACAGGACGAGCACCGCCGGGACGCGCAGCAGCAGTGCCCTCTGCAGCCGAAGAACCACCAGCACTAGTTGCACGCCTCCAGCGCCTGGCAAACCACTCACGCAGCTCCTGTGGGGAGAGTGGCTCCCGGCGAGACGAAGCACCCCCAGGCTCAGCACCCCCAGGCACAGCAGTCCCAGGCACAGCACCCCCAGGCACAGCACCTCCAGGCTCAGCACCCCCAGGCTCAGCACCCCCAGGCTCAGCACCCCCAGACTCAGCACCCCCAGACTCCGCACCCCCAGGCTCAGCACCCCCAGACTCCGCACCCCCAGGCTCAGCACCCCCAGACTCTGCACCCCCAGGCTCAGCTCCCGCAGCAGCACCAGAGTCACCAGTGACCTCGACAGGCTCGACCGCGTCTACCTGGGACACACCTGACGGGGCCGGACCCTGAGGGGGGAGGGGGTCTACCGGGGGGGGACCTGGTACCAGGAAAAGTGGGGGCGGGGGGAGGGACGGAGTGCGGTAGGGGAAGAGGCGGTAGTAGGGTACCGACTCGTCGAACGTGACGTCTTGGGAGGACAGAACACGTCGAGAGGTGGGGTGGTAGAACTGCCACCCAGGGGCGTCGGGGGGGAACCCCAGGAAGACGCAGGGAGCAGCGCGAGGGGACAGCTTGTCCGCAGACAAGTCGCGGACAAACGCCCGAGATCCCCAGACCCGGAACGCCGACGCATCGCCAACCTTCCCCGTCCACAGCAGGGCTGGGGAGGTCTCCGGCCTGGAGACCCTGGGGTGGAGGTTGATCTGATGCGCTGCGTACCTGACCGCAAACGGCCACAGAAAATGGGGGGCAGCCGCATGCATCATGGACGTACGGGCGACGTCCATGACCATGCCAATGCGG